GCTTGTATGATATGTGTCACAGGTGTTAAAAGTAAAGCTAAAGTAAATGAAAGTACAGTGAGAACAAGTTCAAGGTGGTGAGGAAATGACATGCTATAAATGTGTGGGATCATTCAGCAACAGGTAAGATTTTTGCAGGACCAAGAGCAAGCATATTTGTACCAAATCCTGTACCCTGCTGTGAGGAACAGTGATCAATGAGAGGTGAAGAATAATGATAGACTCCATGAGGAGGGGTCACTGAAGTTTCAGCTATACTTCTTTAAAATAATTTTCATTATGTGTATTTAAAGTAAGCAACATGACATTATGGGATACTATAGTAAAGTATTAACGTATCCATCATCTCATATAGTTACTGGTATTTTTGTTTTGGGGACAAGGACAGCTAAAATCTACTTATTTAGTATGAATCCCAAATTCAGTGTCATTTTATTATCTATAAGCCTGGTGTACACAAGATCTCCAGGCTTATTCATTCTATATATGTGCTACTTTGTATCCTCTGACCTGTGTCTCCCCCTCCCCTCCCTCCACCAATGCTTGGTAATCAGTGTTTTGTTCTCTCTCTATGTGTATGAACTTTTTAGATTCCACAAAAAAGTGAAATTGTGATATAATTTTCTTTCTGTGTCTGGCTCAAGGTTCATCCTCGTGTGGCGAATAGCAAGATCTTACTCTTTTTTCAGGATTGAATAATATCCCATTGTATATAGATATAAGTTTGTGAGACAGATGCCACAATTTCTTTATCCATACATCCATACATTGTCTCTATATATTATCTGTTACAAATAAAGCTACAGTGAACAAAGGAATACACATATCTGGTTATATGCCCCCAGAAGGTGGATTGCTGGGTCATATAGTAGTTCTGTTTTAAATGTCTTTAGAAGCCTTCATACTATTTTCCATAGTAGTTATATGAACTTATATTCCCACCAACAGTGTATACCTTTACACACTTGCCAACATTTTTTTACTCTTTGAGAATAGCTGTCCTATCAATGTGAAGTGGTATTTCAAAGTTCTTTTGCTCTACATTTCTTTGATGATTAATCATGCAGAGCACCTTTTGGTGTACCTATTGGACCTTTTTGTGTCTTCTTTGGAGAAATGTCTAATCGAGTCTTTCATCTGTTTTTTAACCAGGTTATCTGTTTTTCTACAGTTGAGTTGTATGAGTTCTTTATGTATTTTGGGTGTTAATTCTTTATCAGATAATGTGGTTTGCAAATATTTTTCCCCAGCCCACAGGTTACTATTTCATTTTGTTGATTGTTTGCTTTGTGGTATAGAAACTTTCTGACTTGCTATAGTCCCATTTACTTACTTTTGATTTTGTAGTCTGAGTTTTTTGATACCTATATTGCACATCTATTGTTAAAAATATCTGAGCCTGAAGCTGCTATTTATTTAGCATCATAGTTCTCAAAGTGTGTTCCTGGGAATCCCTGACACCCTATCAGGGGATTCGTAAGATCTAACCTGTTTTCATAACATTGCTAAGTTGTTACTGACCTTTCTCAGTGTACTGACATTTGCAGTGCTGGTGCAGAAACAGCATTCTCAGTTTTTTTTTAAAAAAATGGTTTTGCGTAGTGCCTGGTGAAAAAGTAAGAAAAAATTTAATTAAAAAAATTTAAAATCTTTAATAATTTTAATTTTATTTTATTAAATATCAAGTCTTAAATAAACGTCTTTCATATTTACTGAAACAAGACAGAAAATAGCTATCACTTGAGTGCGGACATAGGACCCACCCAACTTCCTGAGAGAGGGTGAGGCTTAGCCTTCAAACTATCCCAGCAGAGTTTTCATGTACATTTCAACAGAAAGAGGAGAAGAATTCAGCTTTCAGAAGGTGAAAGGAAAAGGATTTTACAGCTAAATCTGGTGGGAAGGGCAAAGATCTAGCACAATTCCAAATAAAATTACTAAAATAATGACATGAACAGTACTTTAAAAAAAAGAGTCTAGTTCACAAATTCTGTCTATATGATCTTGGTACTTGATAGATCATTTCCCCCAAAAATGAATAAAATGAAGCTCAAGGATATGTGACAGTGTTAGTTGCCAATGAAAAGCAAAAATCAGAATTTTGGAAAACCTTATTCTCTATCCATGAACTTGACAATTCCTGATATGTAATATCTTCTTTACTTAGATCAGTCAGTGGTGATATTAATAAATGTGAGAGGTGTTTTTTGGTTTGCTTTTTTGGGAGACGAGTTTGGCATTGGGGAGTAAAGCATACTTTTGGTATTAGGGCTACACATGTGCTAGGTAAGTGCTGTACCCAAAATTTTAAAAATTATTACGTTGAAATGAATCAAATCTGGGAGATTTATATACCTCAGAAAACCAGTATGTTCCAGAGTACTGGTTATGGAATCACACATGGATAAAAGAGCATTCAAAGTCCAAGAATAAAAAACATAGTTTCAAGTAAGACATGGTCACCCATGGCAATAATCCCAGCTACTTGGGTGGCTGAGGCGGGAGGATCACAAACTGGAGTTCAGCCTGGGAAACTTGGTGAGACCCTCTATTCAAAATAAAATAAAAAAGGCTTGTTATCTAGTTCAGGGGTAGAGCACTTTGCTAGCTTGCTGGAAGCCCTGAGTTCAGTCCCCAGGAAGAGGGGAGAGAGGGAGGGAGGAAATTTCAGATTCCATATTAAGACGTAACCTTTAAGAAGCTACCCCTTTTTATTTTTGGTGTGATATCAAAGCAGAATATTCATAATAACCCGAAAGTCTGTTAAAATAACCCCTCCTTTTTTCAATTATATATCTGTGTGAGGATGGACTTAATTTATTTCCACCAGCACATATCGTGTAACAGATTGAACGCAGTAGACATGAGAATTCAGCTTCTACTGAGCCAGTCATGAAAAAGATTTGCAAAGAAAAGAACAAGAGAGATTTGCCCTCACTAAAATTTTGTTACAAAAATATACCTCTTTTAATAATAGTTTTATGTAAATATAATGGATTATTTTAAATTTTTAATTAATGAATTTTGAAAATTGTTTTGATTTCTAATACCAGTAGTAGAAATTCAATAAATCTAGCTATGTAACCAGTAGATATTACCTCCGTGAACCAAGGGTCTTTTGGGTCCTTAATCATTTAGTGTTAAAGATCCTGAGACTGAAAAGTTTGAGAACCATCAGTTTAGATAGTACATACCAGTACTTTTTATCCGTGCATTAAGGCATGGGTACATGTACATAAAATACATTTTAAAATATGCATAAAAATAGAAATACCAAGATGATGATATTAACAGCATTTCAGTGGCTCCAGTATTCTTTTGTACTCTCAAGGCCAGAAGACTGGGCCTGAAGCCTAAAATGTTAATTCAGCAGAAAACCAAGGTCTGGAGGTTTAAAGGAGAAAGCTGAAATGCTGCGGACAGTTTTTAGTACTGACAGGACTGTTCCACAGAACCGGGCCTCCTGACATCAGCACATTGTCCAGGCTTCCACAGAGAGCCATGAGGAGAGGCCTGCAAAGGACAGTGCCCGTCACAGCAGACTAACTGAAGCTGCCTGATGACACGCACCAGTATGAAGGTAGTTCACCTCCTGTGAAAGCTTTGAAAAGCAGATTCGTACCCTACTGGATGAGAGTGCACCCAGGGACTACATGAATTTAAGCGCTTTGGGGATCCTTTAGCCCTACAAAGAGATGCATTTCTTTGCACGCAGAAGGGCGTCTTGGGCACCACCCGACCCAAGGTGTGCATGTGTGCTATGTGCAGCTCTAAAGGGACAGTCCAACCTGGGCGGGCGGGGGTGAGGGGGCTGAATCATTTCCACCACGAGATAGTTGTGTGCCTGACCTGTGGTCTCAGGGGACAGTGGCCTTTGTGTTCTTGTTCAGGGGAAGAGTGTTACAATCTCCAACAGCCCAAGAAGTGGCGCATACCAGCAGACTAGGGGTTGAGCTCACCCACCTGGGGGTGCTTGCCAGTGCGTTCTCTGCTTTCTGAGGCACATGGCCTTTGGTCAGTGGCTATGCTAAGATACCTCCCTCCTGTTTTAGAGTCTAGCCTTTCAGGCTTTAGAGCAGTTCACTCCTTTTTAAGTGGTCTCACTTCTGTAGGGCACATGTTGAACCTTTTGAAGTTGAAGTCTCTGACAGCAGCTGTCTTTCCACATCATGGGGACACCTCACTGTAATCCCTCCAGCACAGAAAACATTAGCTGTCATGTCTCCCCCGTTTTCTATTGTCTTGGGCACATCTTTCCATCTTCTGTAATAAGTTACCACCTCATTGCCACCCACTGTGTGTACTTCTAATTGTCTAATTCTGATGTATTACTATAGCAGACATGACAGCAGACCCTAGATGGGGGAGAACACTGAGCAACAAAGAAAGCTAGGATGAACTGCCCATGTTTACGGCAGAAGTGGGTGGGCAGCATCCAGTGAGGAGAAAGATGCGGCTGAGAAGCAGAACTGGGTATGAGGCTCCCTCTCCTCCATCGCCCACGTGCTGTCCACCCAGGCGGCTGCTCCACCTACCTGGGCCTTCACTCTGCTGTCAGAGTGGGCCCAGCTCAGCTGCCTTTTGGAGATTAACCTAGATGATGTTAGGGCTACATGTTCTGGCATCCAGTCCGGGCCTGCTCTCACCTTTGCCTGCCTTGGAGCTCTTTGCTTCAAACCTTGAGGCTAGCTTTTATGTTGGAGTGAACCTGGAATTACCACACAGGAGTAGTCTAACAGTCTCCAGCCTGAATTTGACAGGAAAGTGTGTGGAACCTCTGGACTGAGCTCATGGTATTACTATTGTTATTCTCCCACCCCCATGAAAATAATCTGCCTGTTTTCTGACTTCCAGGTCTGTCTCTTGTGAGTATAGTCCCAGAGGAGAGGGCCTAGCTTAATAATTTAAATTAATATGTTGAGAGTAATATTCATCACATTTTATTCTGTATACAATGTGTTGTTCCCAATTGTTCTCATATCTCTGTTTTCTCTTTTCAGAGATCCACATCTTCTGGACCCAACTCTGGAATATGTGAAGGTAGGAAACGAGGACTTAACATGTCCCTGTGACCCATTTCTAACAGTGTTGAATAATAGAATCTATTTCTAATAGATTTCCCATTTCTAACAGTGTTGCCCAATACTGCTGCAGTCTGACATGTAGAAAGCTGGTTGGGTTGCAACAACCAGAGGAAATATGACTCACTCAGACCTTTGGTGAACTTTGTAAGGGTCTCATGTCTATTGCAGTTCTACAGTCATTTTCCCCTTATGTAGGTCAGATGTGTTTTAAAATTCACAGATTTTTTTAAAAAGAAAGGTATGGCTCATATAGTTAATACCTCCAAAGAGGACTGGGGTCCGCATCTCATAATCAAACTCACTTTGGCAGTGACATTTAAGAATATTCACACCAAGAGGGATTAAATAGACGACCAATGATTTTATGTAGTTCAGTTCACATTGTGCCACCAAATAAGGTCCAATTAGCTTTGCTGCAAGATGAGTTATTTCTTCTGGTTTTCAGAGTTTCTTGGATTTTGGTAGATGAGGGATTGTGGACCTGTGTTTACCTTCAGTGGCGCACTGAAGGCTCCCTGATGTTTTCTGAGCTGTCTTTCCAACAGCTGCATTTTATTCAGCAGCTAATCTGGGACCCAGAAATAATTTGTTACTTTCCAGTGGGACTGAGAGTCAACGCTTCTAAATAAACAATGTTTTCCTTCTGAGCAGAAAGAAAAGCTGTTCTTCACTTTTTTCCTCTGTCCGCTCTCCTTTTTGGGGGGAGGTGTATGTTTGATTTATTTTATTTAATTTTGAGCTATAATTAAATCAGTTACCTCCCACAGAAGGCGGAAGTCTGATCTGTCATTCCTGGATTATGACAAGATGTATAGTTATCTTTCAGGAAAAATCATGTGTGAGGATTTAAGCTTTCCTCCTTCGAAGCCACAGTCTGTCTTTGTCATTGCAAGGGCAGCATCCCTGGTTCAGATCACTGAGGCCCGTCTGTTTGTTGTGTGCCCATGCCTTCCCCAGAGAACTGGCATTTCCTCCTCCTTTAGACCAGGGGAGAGAAGAGAGAGCTCCGGTAACATCACCTGGCCACTGGAGCTGGTGTAATAATGTTTGTTGCAATGGAGGTGGATATTGTTTTTCTTGTCTCTCATTCCCGAACAATGTCTGACCTGTGCTTTCGCGGCAGCGAATGTGGAACCCTAAACCAGGAGGGCCACCACCCCAGGTCTGGTCGGAGCCTTATGAGTGGTGTGTCAGGGTCCCTCCTAGATGCATTGTGTATGTCTTTGTGTAGCTTGTGCACTGCCAAGCATTAGGAGCCAATATTCACAGACTATGGTTTGACTTGACTATAGCATAAAAAGCGTGCCTTGCGATTGTGAGTGTGTAAGTCACAGCAGCCCTGTCAAAACACTTCCTGCTGTGTTTCAGAGGGTGGCTGTCTCCCACCTCTGGCCTAGTAAGGCTGTGTTTGGGAAGTATATCCCTAATCCTTACTTCAGGAATTGTTCCTTTTTTATTTTTATGAAAGTCAAATCCCTTTTATCTCTAGCAATGAATTTCAAAGCTAAACATAGAGAATTCTAGAATAGCCTGTTTTAGTTCAGTAGTCCTCCTTATCTGTGATTTTAGTTACCTGTAGCAAACCATGGTCCAAAAATATTAAGCGGAAAATTCTAAAGTTTTAGAAGTCTAAATTGCACACTTTCCTGAGTAGCGTCTTGAAGTCACTGTCCTGCTCCTTTGTGCCTGGGACAAGCATCATCTCTTTGGCAATGGACCCATCCTGTAGCGCTGTCTTTCCGTTAGCCACCTGGTAGCTATCTTAATTGTTAGATCAACTGTCATGGTAACACCATGCTTGTGTTCAGGTGACCCTTATTTTACTTAACAGTGTTCCCAAAGCAGAAGAATAGTAATGCAAAGAAGCAGAGCATAAAACACAGAAGGACAGATCAACTCTGTACTATGTGGAGACGTGTGGGACATAAGGAAAAAAACAGTACAGTGTACGTAGGGTTTGATACCGTATGGTTTCAGCCATTCATGGGGGTCCCGGATGGTGCCCCTTGCAGTAAGGGGGTATTGTATATGATCTAAGCTACTGTTTTCAATCTGAGGATATTGATTGTTGTGAGATGAGCTATTGACTGAGAAAGAGATACAGCGACTGGGTGTTTTCCACTTATTCAGCTCTCCTTGCCTTCTCTAGGCAGTGAGACTTGATTGAACTGTTCTTGGGAGGCTCTGGGTGTTCTTTTCAAGGGCTCATTGAGGTATTTGAGAGTTTCTCTTTCCTCCAAACCTGAGTTGAACTTGATCACAACCTTATAAATGATTGGCCTGTGCAGCCTCCTGACTGCATCCCAAATTTTTATTTCTTCCTCCCTTTGTCTGTGGTATAGACTGGATAGAATTTGTTGGGCCAGCGTGGGCTATTTTTCTTACTTCGCTGGGCAGTAATGCTTCACAAGCACGTTCACAGAGGCCTTGGACCTCAAGGTCCAAAGAGGCCCATGTGTCAGAGTTGTTGAGCCAACCCGGGGCCATGAAGCACCTCTCAGACTTAGCTGCCCTCTGGGCCTGGCTGGTGGTACCAGGAAGGCCCATTAGCTAGTGTCGTCTGATGCCTCATGACGGCAAGGGCTGTAGATAAATGAAGAGAAGTGAGAGAGTTGTCGAGAACTTGGATGTTGTTCAGCCCCTTGACTTCAATCTGTTTCTTTAAGCTGTTGCCCCCTCACTCCGTTGCACTTAATGCCCTTTGAGCATGGAGAAAAGCAGACACTTGTGTGAAGTATGTTGCTCCATAGGGAACTTCTGGCACTGTAAGAGTCATTGGCCTAGAAAGCAAGAGTTAAGATGCCAAATTTTTAGCGTTCATTGTGACCCCAGAATGCGGAGCAGTCTGATCCCCGCTTCAGTCTCGTCCGGGCAGCAGAAGCGCCTAGTGCGGCCAGCAAACAGCAGACCGCCGGGTCACCCTGTCTGTCTTTAGATGCTGCTGTCCTCCCATCGGACTTTCGAAACATGCTTTCCCAGCGCCCAGAAATAAGAGACGGGTCTGGGATCTAACTCCTTGGGGCAGGGGAAGACAGGGCGCCAAGGCTGCCCCGTAGCCGATGGGGTCAGTGGGGACTTCAGTGTGAAGGCAAGACAGCGCCGGAGAGAAGAAGATTCTCAAATTTGCTGCTGCCCAGTTTATTTTGTGTCCTGCTAGTGCCATAGGGTTTGTATCACAGCACATTAATATGGCTTGAAAGGGGACCAGTTTCTCGGTTGCTTAGTTACCTTAGCTCTTCCGGTTGTGAAATGGAGAGAAAAGTGCAGGCTGGGAAACTCCAGGATTACTCCGGGGTTCCTTTGTTTTGCGTAGTAGGCTTCCCTCCTGCTGGCTTCCCAGAGGCACCTCAACTCTAAAGGCTCAGTTTGATGTTAGAATGTGATCGGGAAATAAATAGCAGATCCACAGTAGCACTGGGATTTTGGAATCTCATTCCTCCATGTTTCTGCCTCTTTAATTCTGGCCCTGGAGAGGAGAGTTTGTTTTTTGTTTTTCTACTTCTTCCTTGTTTTCCTAGCTCTCACCTCTCCTCATAATTTTTTCCCACAATAGCTCAAAACATGCCCATCTTGAAGGTCTGAGTTTCACTGTTTTGTGTAATCATGAGTTCTTTTCTGTAATGAAACAGAACTAAGCCTCTTTCACTACAACTGAGGGAAGTCATTTCTTCCACCTGACCCCACCTTCCTTTGTGCTCCTGTGCAGTTACTTATTGAGTTAGTGGTGTAAGGCGCTGGAATTTTCCTCAGCGTACCTAGCATACCTTTTCCTCAATAAAACCATGGGGTTTTTTTTTTGGTTTGGTTTGTTTTTTTCTTTTTCAGTAGGAGGAAACAGCTTTTAGAGGCAGTAACCTTGGGCCTAATTATGAAACAGTTTTATCTTGTGGGCTGCTTTACCTACTTTCTGTTCTCATTGAGTCTTTCCATATTTTTACCGCCATTAAAATGTAGTTTTTCTGTGTCCAGTTTCTTACACATGTATCAGGTGATTGCTTAGAAAATGTGACAAAATAGTTGTGCTAACGAGCTTATAATGGGTATAACTCATTGTGTTAAGTTTCCCAGATGGCAGTTCAGCAGACTCCAAGTCACACATGCCCTGTGTCCCCAGGGAGGAGACCTGGGTCCACACTCTGTCTCTAATTGGCAGTGTGACCGTGCGCTTACCTGCCACCTTCTCTATGGATTCCATCTTCCTTACAACCAGAAAACCTTGTTCCTCTAGCTGAACATTTTTAGGAATTTCTATGCCTGTGATAGGCCAGAGGCGAAGACTTTTTAGCAAGTAGTAAGAGGAGTTATTTATGCTGTCAATATTGGTCATAAAATTGTCATATAGAATGGACTAAAGGTGACGTTTCTTGTTGTATCTCAGGCATTAAGACTGAGGACCTGATGGATAATTGTCCACCCGTGATGTGCCTCATCGATATTGTTGGCTTTGTGATTTATATTTGCTTTGTGATCCATTATATTTCATTTTTGTAACCCCCTTTTGAACTTGTGAGACTTATTTTATTCTTACTCTTTTATCATTTCTTTCATTAAGCTACTTCTTTAAGATTTAGGAGTTGCCTTTGCCCTCTTCTGTCTCTTTCTACTTTATATATAGCTTTTTATGCCAAAGAGTGGTTCTTTTTAGCCGCCTCATATACACACCTACAATTACTTTATTAGTAAAGAGTCTCTTTTCCGGGGATGATTTAAAGTGGTTTGTTTGTTTGTTTGTCTGTTCATTTGTTTTTTGAGACAGGGTCTCACTAGGCAGTTCAGGCTAGCTTTGAACTCACTGTGTAGTCCAAGCTAGCCTTGAACTCTTGACGATCCTCTTGCCTCAGCCTCCTGAGTACTGGGATTATAGGCATGTGCCACCACCCTTGGCCTAAAGTGTAGTTATTTTTGGGTGGAAGGAATTGACAAGGGCAGAACTGGGTGATTTTTATTCTACTTTTT